GGTGGAGGAGGAGTTTCTTTGTCCCAGAGGTTGGCCTAAAACCTGCCCTGAGGACAGAGCCACACCCGTGATTCAGGTCCTGCTAGAATTCCTTCAAGAGCTTGGGTGGCAGATCTTGGGATCAGAGCCTCATAAAACCAACCAGCAACTAGGCTCAAGGGAGGGGCCCGGCCAGCTTCAACCCCCCACCCACCGTCCTGTGCAGCTGTAACTGATTGGTTGAGTTTAAAGCAGTAAGTGACAAGCTGGTTAGTTAGTTCTACCCCCTCCCTGATGCTGCAGGCTGTGGGGAATTAGGATGATGTCCAGTTCCCGTATAAAGCACCTCTCCGAGCAAACTCGCTGTCTGCTAACAATGGAAGAAGGAGGAGAGAAACAGCCAGCACCCAAGGCTGCACAGAACTGCACCCTGCCATGCTGGGGGAGGAGAGAGGAGTACTGGGGAGGGGAGGGCTGCTCCACATGGACAGTGAGTGTCTCCATCAGCCCCGGCCGCCGTGACAGTCCCGTAGGCTGGTGGCTTGTAAACAACAGATACTCGTTTCCCACAGTTCTGGAAGCTGGAAGTCTGAGATCAGGGTGCCAGCGTGGTCGGGTTCTGAGAGCTCTCTTCCAAGCTGCAGATACATGCCTGTTTCCTCACTGTCCTCACAAGGCGGAAGGTGAAGGAGGGGCAGAGGGGCTCCCCGGGGTCCACTAGGACACTAATCCCATTCGGGAGGCCTCCACCCTCCTGACCTAATCACCTCCCAGAAGTCTTCACACCACCACATTGTTGTTCAGTCACTCAGTCACGTCTGACTGTGACCCCATGGTCTGCAGCACGCCAGGCTTCCCTATCCTTCACCATCTCCTGGAGCTTGCTCAAACTCACGTCCATGGAGTCGATGATGCCATCCAACCATCTTGTCCTCTGTCGTCCCCTTCTCCTCCTGCCCCCAGTCTTTCCCAGCACACTGGAGACTGAATTTCAGCACATGGATTTTGGTCGGGGAAACAGTTATTCCTGAGCAGGTTCTCTGCAGTGGTGGCATTTTAAACTGATGGGACTTAATTCAGGGAACTATTCCGAGTTCAGGGAATTCGTTTACAAAATCACTGGATGGGCTGAAAGCAATGGACCAGAAATCCATGACTGGGTGACCCACCAAGGGCCCAGACCAGGAAGGTGGGGAATTGGGAGCCACCACCAGCACTGTTCAAGGGAGTGCAGAGGGGAGGTGACCCAGCAGGGAGTGACTCAGCAGGGAGGTGACCCAGGGATCAGGAAGCAGGGTGACTGCTGCCTCCAGCACCCAGGAAACAGAGGCATGGACCCAGACTCGCTGGTGTCTCTGTGATCCTGGTGCCAGAAAACCAAGTCCCGGAAGCCTTGCACTGAGCAGGGGTGGAGGTGGGGGTGCTGGAGGGACCCGGAGGAGGGAGTGCTTCATATGGGAACCAGACTGGACATGATCTCCATCCGGAACCTGTCTTTCCAACTCCCAAAGCAAAACGGCCCTCAGCGTCATGGAGGGGGTAGAATGAACGCATGAATGAACAAGCCAACTAACCACCTAACTGCATTGCCACCTCCTACTTTAAATTCAGCCTGTCATTCACACATTGCATATGCCTGCACACACCAAAGTTGACACTTTCGCCTTCCAAACTTGAGCATCAGTTATCACCCAGAAGCCCAGTTCCCAGGGAGTCTGGGAAGCAAGAAAGGAGGCTCCCAGCCCATCCACCCTCCCAGCACCGAGACTGGAGGGAGAAGAAAAGCTGCCCACAGACCCACCGCTGCTGGTCTAGGGGCTCGGTGGGGAGGGAGAAGACCTGTTGGTGCCACGGGTGGGCAGTGGGGGCAGCAGGAGGTGGGGGCCAGAGGCCCACAGTTCAGCTCTTACAGAGCTCAGAGCTTCTGGGTCCCCTTCCCAGGCCTGTATCTCCCAGGGCGGTGGGGAGCTTTCCTGTAGACCATTGATCCAGGGGAGAAAAATCAGTTAAAGCCCATTGACTGAAAAAATAACTTGGGCTGGAATTTTTCTAGCGGGAAGAAAAGCTCCAAGCCATAACTCATCTACTGCTCTATTAATAACACACAAAGCCACAGCCGATAAATAGAACAAGTGTGCAGTGTATACATTAACTTTAAGCTGAGAAGCAGGGAATCGAGTGAAGCAGGGGGGGGTGGGGGGACGACATATGGGGACAGGAAACGGGAAGACGGCATACGAGGAGAGGAAAGCCGGGGAAGAAGCCAGGGAGACAGAGGCAGAGGGGGAGGGACCAGGACGGAGAGCTGGTGCAGAGCCGGGCGGCGGGCGGTGGGGCTGTAGCCCCGCTCGGGCAGCGAGGGGCCGGCCTGGGGGAGGGAGGGCTGGGTTCATTCTCCCATAAGTAAGAACTCTATTTCCTTTGCAGTGAATATAAGAGATACGCCAAGCTTCTGGAAGCAGGCTCCCACTCTGCCCCGAGCCGCTGATGTAACCCATGAGCGGCGGGAAGAGCCTCGAAGGGCTGGCTTCTCACCGGGCTTCCCGGTGAACCAGATGTGTGTTGCCTCTTACCTTTGCACTTGCTCTGAGTTCAGTAGATAAGTTTGTTTCCAATTCTTTAGGCTCTCCCTTGTCTTGCCTAAGGTAACCATCACTCATGTGTACTCCCTGTTCCCCTCTTCACGCTCACAGAACAGACAGATTGTCTCTGTCGATGTGGTGGGGGGATGGGACGGAAAGCAGGAGGGAGGGAGGAAGGGGAGGATTCCACAGATACACACCACACAACCCCAAGCCTGCGGCTCCACTTAAGGTAAACAGCGCACTGATCACAACGGAGGGGTCTCCTCCTGCTGGGATGCTGGCGCTGGCCTCTGAGGGGAGGTTGAAGGGTCCAGGGTGCAGAGATGGAGCCTGGGGCGGGACAGGGCACCTCTGATGTGACTGCAGAGCTTCTTGGAGTGGAGGCGTGGGGCTGAGGGGAGGCTTGTGTGCAGAGGAGGTTGGGGCCGGGGCAGACTTGGGTCGGCCTGATGATCAGAGCTCGCGGAGAGTGACCATTAATCAGGACGAGTGCGGAGAAAGCCCTTTCTACTGCCTGAACGCCTCAAGTAGTTGGACGAAATCAGTTCTAGGGTCTCTGGACTCAAATTCTTTTTTTTGTTTGTTTTAGTTGCTCCACAAAGCTTGCAGGATCTTAGATGCCTGCCGACCAGGGACTGAAGCCTGGAAATCTAACCAATAGGCCACCAGGGAAGTCCTCTCTGGATTCAAATTCTACAACTCCCACCAAGTGAGTGAATTCTAACATTGCCTGAAATGAGAGGGTCCCTGGACAGCGTCCCTGTCCTTCCCTGACCCCCTGGTGCTTAACAGGGTAGGTGGCTGCCACGTGGGAGCATTTGATCTAGTGACCTCAAACTGAAAGTGAAGTGAAAGTCGCTCAGTCGTGTCCGACTCTTTGTGACCCCATGGACTATAGTCCATGGAGTTCTCCAGGCCAGAATACTGGAGTGGGCAGCCTGTCCCTTCTCCAGGGGTCCAGACCCAGGAAATGAATCATGAATCGGGGTCTCCTGCATTGCAGGCCAGTTCTTTACTGCTGAACTACCAGGGAAGCCTAAGACATACCCCGAGGAATGGTTCCACTGGGGATTGAACCCAGGACCTCCTAGTGACCTGGACTCACTGTTTTCTCGTCTTCTGTGTAGTTTTCTGGGAAACTGATGATGCCGCTGCCCCTAGTGAGTAGCCAGAGCAACACCCAGGGGTGTGGGGAGAGTGAGTGATTCTCCAGGGACAGTCTCAGAGGTGGGGGCGGCTAGCATGCACCAGGGCAGCATTTTCAGGTGGTGAGAAAAGAACTTACTCTTCAACTATGAGGGAAGGAGGTAGTAGGTAGAAGGCTTGAAAACGGTTAACCACTTCACTATTCTTAGGTTTTTAAATGGGGGAAAGCTCCCAGCCGTCACTTTTTCTCCTCATAGGGAAAGGTTATGGCTGGCTAAAATATTCAAAAGATCTGATACCAAGTGAAAAATTCAAGCACAAATTAAAAATAGATGATTTGGCTCTTATAAGCTTTTCTTCATTTGCTAGTAAAAAAAGAAAAACAAAACATGATTATAAAATATGTGTTTACTTGTATACCCATATTCACAGCAGCATTATTCACAACACCTAAAATGTGGAAGAAACTCAGTTATCCACTGAGGGAATGAATGAATTAGTAAAATGTGATATATGTATGTGTGTGTGTGTATATATATACATATATACAATGGACGATTATTCAGCCTTAAAAAGGAAGGAAATTCTGACATACATTATGACATGGATGAATACTGAGGACATTCTGTTAAGTAAAATAAGCCAGACGTAAAAGGACAAACACTGCATGATTCACTTATACGAATGACGTCATCTGGAACAGTCAAGTTCACAGAGACACAAAGGGAACGGTGGGTGTCAGGGGCTGTGGGGAGTCCAAGTGGGGAGTTACTGTTCAACAGGAAGAGAGCTTCGGTTTGGCAAGATGGAAAGAGCCTGGGGGACGGACAGTGGTGATGGATGCGTAGCTACAGAGACGTCCTTGGCACCGATGAACTGCACACATAAAAATGGTTAAGTTGGTAAATTTTGTGCCTTTTACCACAATAAAAAAAAAAAATCTAAAAGTAAAAATACATATGTGATAACTGCACACAAATATAAAAAAAACCACCACAACAAAAACGGGCCAAAATCCTCGTTCCCAGAAGCAAATGACACTGTTTTGACATGTTTACTTTCCACTTTTTCTAAAAGTTCGGATTATAGTATGCACATAAAGGTGCTACATTTTTGATTATTATGTCATAGCATTTTTCATATTAAAAGCATCTACAAAATTAAAAATCAATACATACAAAATCTGTGGTTTAATAATATTCCATGGGCTCCATACGGACAGACCTTAAAATCACTAAAAGAATAACACATATAGTAGGTTCTCATTACTTATCTATTTTGTACGTAGTATCAATATATCAATAGTATATACCTGTCAACCCCAGTCTCCCAATTCCTCCCACCTCCCCCAAGAGATAACATTTTAGACGCCCAGAGAGTAACACCTCCTTTGATCCCATTCCCCGCCTCTTGCTCCCCAAGGGAATGACTTAGTCTCCTTGGCGGCAGCAGGTCAGGAACAGGCCCCTGCAAGGTCCTTGCGCCCCAGGACAAGGGTTTGTACAACAAGTCCAGTGAGCGCTGTGGGCCCATGGCTCCACAGGGCCCACCTGACCACTGACTCCGCAATCCCCTTCGCCTTTGCTTCACAGTCATGAGATAAAGACACAGTCCCAGCCATCACGCTGGTTTCTAGGCAGGACGGAAGAGGGGCTGTCTCTTGGGGGCTTCACCTTCCTATTCGGGAAGTAGAGCCTCTCTAATGACAACTTCCCCCAACATTTCATTGGCCAGACCTGGGTCACATTCTCCCTCTCCCCAGTGCCTCAGACCCATCACTGGCTACAGGAAGCAAGACTGTTTAGCAGACCACGACTTAACCCCAGAGCTAAGGTGGTTCCACCGCCTCTTATCCCAAAAGATCAGATTTCTGTTACCTGAAGGGAAATACTGGGGCTCTGAAAGGACAGGGCACGGGGGCTGGGAGGAGGGTGGTTGCCAGCCGACACCAGAGTGGACGCCAGGGGAACCCGATGTCTTCTGCTAAACACATGAGCACACATACGTTCGTGTGACATACAGCCACATGTTCAAGTACTCCTCGAAGCTGTTTCTGGAAGGGATTCCCGATGCGCAACCCCAGTTTATGTAAAAGTTATGTGAGTCGGCTGCTAATATCGAGCTGGCGCAATAACGTGATGGATAACAGTCCAGACGCCTCCCATCTCCATAGCCTCCTATGACGGACACAGCCGATCAGATGAAGACTTAACTATTACTTTTGGTCTGTAATAGGTAAGTGACCCTAAAAAACACAGAGTCTGAACAGAGGATGGGGAAAGGCGACTTGAGAGCTACACACGCGTGCAAGCAAGCAGGGGCTGGTTGGCAGCTCTGAACACGGACAGGGAGGCGTCCTGGTAACCCTTCACACCGTGAAGTCACAGCTGAACGTAGCTGCGCCCACTTTAGGTGGAGCCAGAAGTGGTCGGGCTTGAGTCTCCCATCCAGTAGCCTCTGCATCTAGAATTCAGTGGTTTGGAGGGGAAAAAACAAGATGAGCAGCATTGCATCCAAGGGAAGCTACTACTTAACGACTGGAAGAGATGTGTATAAGCAGATCTATAAAACACCTCTGTCTGCCTGTAATGCATGCAGCATTGTTACTTGCTGACCGTTGACTTAATATACGAATCAATAAGGTATTTACTTCGACAGGAAATGGTCTTTCTATGTGGATTCTTTGTTGTGGCAGTCACACCAGGGCTTTGCTTGTAAAGTGTTTGCTTTGAGAGGGCTGGAGGAAAAATTGTATGAGCTTTGACCTGGCAGGTCAAAATAAGGAGCTATTTTTCCAAGGCATAGTCTCCTTAAAGGGTTTCATTTTTGAATATGCTTTTGAGAAATAACTAGAAATATACACTTTCGGGTATTGGGTTGGCGAAAAAGTTCACTCTGGTTTTCTGTAAGATGTTACAGAAAAACCTGAACAATTATTTTTGCTGAACCAACAGTTTGGGACAAGCTATATACAGTTTTTACTTTTTCATGTGATAAACTAATGATTTTTCACTGTTTGAACTTCCTAGAATGATGTCTAATTTCCAGACACTGTTTTTACTTGCAAGGTATGGAAATTCATAGTACTCAAAAAATCTCAAGGACAAGTAAGCTAACAAAGGTCTGTATAGTGAGAGCTATGGTTTTTACAATAGTCACGTACAGATGTGAGAGCTGGACCATAAAGAAGGCTGAGAGCCGAAGAACTGATGCTTTCAAACTGTGGGGCTGGAGAAGACTCTTGAGAGTCCCTTGGACAGCAAGGAGATCAAACCAGTCAATCCTAAAGGAAATTAAGCCTGAATATTCATTGGAAGGACTGATGCTGAAGCTCCAATACTTTGGCCACCTGATGCAAAGAGCTGAGTCATTGGAAAAGACCCTGATGCTGGGAAAGATGGAAGGCAAGAGGAGAAAGAGGGTGACAGAGGATGAGATGGTTGGGTGGCATCATTGACTCAATGGACATGAATTTGAGCAAACTCCGGGAGATAGTGAAGGACAGGGAAGCCTGGCGTGCTGCAGTCCATGGGGTGGCAAAGAGTCAGACACAACTGAGCGACTGGACAGCAACACAATAAGCTAAATTCAGAGCTCCCTGAGAGTTTGATTATGCTAAGACTCTGCCACACTGCTTAGCCTGTGAAGCAGCATTTTCCTGTCCCCCCATCTCCCATCCAAGTAAACCACTGTTTATCTGACACAGCATGTTCCAGGCTCTGAGCACTCAGATGCATAACAGCTACAAAAAGGCAGAAGAAACATCCTTGCCTTCCAGAAGCTTCCAACTCAGGAACTATCTACAAGGAATTAAAGTGAAAGCCAGCTAACTGAACAGCAGAGCAGGCTGGGACTTTTCCGTGCTCCGGGGAAACAAAAGGCCAGGGAGGGGCTATTTGCAACTGGAGGGCCTGGGAGGCCTTGAGGCAAGATTGGAACTGAGCAGAGAGGTGGGGAGATGTGAGGAAGGCATTTTTAAATGAAGTGAGTGTGAAAAAAAGTGTAGAAAATGAAGGGGCATTTTCATCAACAGAGACATGTCTATGAGGCTGTGTGGGGGAGGGGCTCAGGATGGAGCAGAAGGGAGAGAGAAAACAGTCACAGATGAGGAGATTGATTTAGTACCTCTTACATGCCAGGGGGCGTCCCTGGTGGTTCAGATGGTGAAGAAGCTGCCTGCAACTCAAGAGACCCGGGTTCAATCCCTGGGTTGGGAAGATCCCCTGGAGAAGGAAATGGCAGTCCACTTCAGTATTCTTGCCTGAAGAATCTCATGGACAGAGGAGCCTGGCAGACTACAGTTCATAGTGTCGCAAAGAGCCCAACACGACTAAGCGACTCTCACACACACACACGCCAGGCGCAGTGTGTGTACTATTTCAAACATTGCAACAATCCTGAATAGTAATATTCTCATCCTTACAGATCAAGAAACTGGCCCAGAAGGAGTTTCCTGGTAGCCTAGTGGTTAGGATTCTGGGTTTTTCAATGCCAGGGTCAAAACCTGCTGGGGAAACTGAGCAATGTGGCCTCCTTACCACACACCACCCCCCCCCCCAAAAGAAAAGAAATTTTAAAAAAAAGGGAAAAAAAAATGTAACAGAGGAAAAAAGAAGAGGACTGAAAAGTGGGGTATTATTCCACGATGAGGCTGCCAGACAAAATATAGGACACTTAGTTAAATTTGAATTTCGGATAAACAAGGAAGACGTAAAAGAAACTGACCAAGAGACGTGAAAAAACTCACCTGAGATCACTGAACCGATAAATAGTGGAAGCGATATTCAAATCTGGGTCTGTCTCTAGGAAACTTCTTTTTTTTTTTTCCTGTTAAGCCACATTTCCCTTTTAGCCCAGCTAAGGAGCTGGGACTTTATAGAACACTTTTTATTTCATACTGGAGTAGAGCTGATTAACAATATGGTGGTAGTTCTCAGGTGCATAGCAAAGTGATTCAGTTATACAGGTGCATGTAAACATTCTGTATTCCACAGGTGGCGGGGGTGGAAGAGGACACTGCGAGGAGCAACTCTGGGTGTTTCTGCTCGGATAGGGCCGACGGGGTGTCCCGCGTTGGGCTGGCCCTGGTCCACCCTGAGGCTGGAGGCAGAAGAGAAACTGCCCCTGCCCTCAAAGAAGGCACAGCTTTGTGGACAAGCAGGAAGGTTAACAAGTCACTTTCCTGGTGAGGACGATGACGGCAATTTGGGCGGAATGCCACGGAGATGCCCTTCCAAGGCATGCTTCTTAGAGATGTCACCTGAGCTGCTTTGGAAGAGGAGGAATGTTGAAGGCGGTGAGAAAGGATCTCCCAGGCAGAGGACGGCCAGCCTGAAAACAGACTTCTGTACCACTGGAGCTGGGGGAGGCGGGCGGGATGGAGAACGAGGCTGCGCGTTTGAAATGCCTGGTGGAGGAGCGGCTCCAAACTTGAGTTTCAACTGGAATGATGTGGTTCCACCCACAGGTTAGAAAACCTCCGGAGAGCCTTGGGAAAGGAGGGCTGGAGCAGGCAGTGCAGCTGGTTGGCAGAGGTTTCGGTGAGACGGTGGGACGGGGCCTGCAGCACGGCAGGGACAGAGAAAAGCTGGTGTGAGACATTTAGGACAACTTGATGGCTAATGGCGGGGGATACGGAGCCAGGGGAGTTGAAGATGGTTTCCAGGTTTTGGTCCCGGGCAAGTGGGTTTGACAGGTGAGTGGGCAGGGGCAGACCCCTTGGGACCCCCGAGGACAGACAGTGCACGTGGATCTAGAGCTCTGGGGAGAACCACAGACAGCTGAGAATCATCAGCTGCACACGGCTGTTGAGGCCACGAGGATGGATGGGTCAGGGGGACATGGGACAGCAGGCAGGAGGAGGAGAGGGGCCAGAGGAGGGAAAGTCAGAAGCGAGAAGATGGACCAGGTGGATGAACAGGATGGCAGAGCCAAGGAGGGCGTCTGGGAACCTCATGAGCGGGAGAGGAACAGAGAGTGAGATCAGAAAGGCCCCACCGGTGCGGGCTCCACCCCAGGTGATGACGTGGTAGCTGTGGCTCAACAGATGGAGCGGGGATGGTCAGCACAGACCTGCTTGCAGGGCTTGGCTGGGACTGAAAGGAGACGGGCAGTGACTCCAGGGGCATGTGGGGTCAAGAGAGAACCCTGTTTCTAAAGACAGGGAGAGACATCGCCGCGGGAAGAGAGCCCGGGATGCAGGGCAGGTCCCCGGGAGGGGAGGAAGGGGAGCGCAGGTGGACACGGGACGCAGGCTCAGCCAGGAGGGGCCATGGGGGGACCCCGGGTGTCTGAGCGAATGAACTTGGATCCCTCCAACTGCCCTGAAGCAGGGGATGCTGGCGCTGGGCCGCTGCGGGGAGGCGAGGTAATGGAGAGGAGGACTCAGGCAGATTTCTTACGAGCTTTGAGAAAAGCCATTTTGAGAATCTGCTGAGCAAACTGGTGTCGTGGGGGCTGGAGTGAGGACCAGGGAAAAGAAGTGTCAAGTGACATGAGATGCTCAGGTGACGCTGGGGACCATAAGTCAAGGCAGAACTCTACACTTGTGAGTGGCGTTTCCCCCGGAAGATCCCAGCATCTCAGAAGTACAGGGTTGGAAGTGAGTGGACCCAACGGGGATGTTTTATGGGCCATAAGCAGTAAGGGAACCTGAAAGAAAAAGTGAGAGTGAAAATTGCTCAGTTCATGTCCGACTCTTTGTGACCCCGTGGACTGTAGCCCGCCAGGCTCTTCAGTCCATGGAATTCTCCAGGCAAGAGTACTGGAGTGGGCTGCCATTTCCTTCTCCAGGGGATCTTCCTGACCCAGGGATCGAACCTGGGTCTCCCGCATTGCAGGCAGACGCTTTCCCGTCTGAGCCGCCAGGGAAGCCAAGGGAACCAGAGGATGCTGGTAACTGCTCGTGGGGTTCTGGGCTGGGATGGAAAAGAGGGATCAGGAAACAGGTCTGAGGCTGAAACGAAGGGTAACAGGGAAGAGGGGGCGAGAGTCGGAGATAAGAGGATGTTGGGAGTTTGAGATGCCAAGGTCCACTCCCAGGGAGGACGTGGACCAGGATGTGGCAGCTGAAGAGGTGGGAGGGAAGGTGACTGGGGTTTCGGAGGCCACGATAGAAAGGGGCTTCCGTGACTGAGACGATGCAGGGGTGGCGTGGCCTGGGTGAGAGAGAGAGAGAGGAGTTTAAGTGCCGGGTCTTCAAGAGCACGGGGCAGGGTGAGCAGATGACAGAGACGGACATCATGGGGTGATGGCTTCAGTCTCAGAGCCAGTGCTGCCTCGGGTAGGACTTGGTCAGTCACTAAGGAAAGAGGCAGGCAGTCCTCAATTGCATTCTTGCCACCAGGGCGCCTGTTTACTCAAAACAGCGCAAGGACACACCCAGTCCACTCCACAGGGAGTAAGAGGAAGGGAGAGTTTAGAATATGCTAGTCCTTCCTCTGCACGGCACCCCTTAAAGCTGTCTGTGAGCACTAAGGAAGTTTGCTGGGAACTCTGTCCTGGGACATGGAGGCAGGAGGCCTCCCGGGACTGCCATTTCCGAGTGGCAGCTGCTGACCCCACCACAGCTTGCTCGAACTCATGTCCACTGAGTCGGTAATACCATCCAACCATCTCATGCTCTGTCATCCCCTTCTCCTCCCGCCTTCAATCCTTCCCGCCATCAGGGTCTTTTCCAGTGAATCGGCTCTTCGCATCAGGTGGCCAAAGTATTGGAGCTTCACTTTCAGCAACAGTCCTTCCAATGAATATTCAGGGTTGACGCTGGGGCTGGTTTTAGGGCTCACCCTGAGGCCAGACCCCGTGTTTACCTGCACATGTTAAGAATTCATTTGCTAGCCAGACTTTTCTTAGAGACATCTGCCATTATCAGTGCTTAAGTTCTGAGTCTCTCCAGAGTGGGTCGCTGTTCATTAAAAGTAGGATAAAACAACTCCTTTTGTGTTTTCTGTCAACCAGACCCCGGTTTTCAACACAGGAGCTCCCTTCGGAGTATAGGTTGGAGCCCAGCTGCGGGTCTCACCGTCGTCACTTTTCCTCGTGACACAGAGGTGCTTTGGCTGGGAAGGCTAAACTGAGCAGGACTTGGTGAGTGTGTGCTCACGGCGGGATCAGGGGAAGGGCGTGACAGAGGATAAGATGGCTGGATGGCATCACAGACTCAGTGGACATGAGTTTAAGCAAACTCTGGGAGACAGTGAAGGACAGGGGGGCCTGGCGTGCTGCAGCCCTTGGGGTCGCAAAGCGTCGGACATGACTGAGCAACTGAACAATAACCAAAACCAGCCCAGAAGCAGAGATGAGTGGAAGACGCGTGTTCACTTAGAATGACTGGGTAGGAAGGACGTGTAACAGTCCTGGGGAGTGTCAACACATCATGCAGTTTACCTATCACCACAGCTGATTCCTGTTTGTCTGAAGACTAGCATTGCTAGGCCTGATTAACAGCCAAGGAAATGAAGAGTTAAAAGGCTACAAGGCCTCTCGGAAGTCTCCTGCATGATAAACGGCACGGTCAGGCCCTTACCCCTTAGGATGACTCTTGCCACTCCTCAGTTCTGCCTGCCTAAGTACCTTTGTAGCTGGTGTACCTTTCAAGGCCTGGAACTCCAAACCCATTTGCACTATTAAATTCAAGTGGGAACTCTGAACAAGGAATGGCTCATGAAAAATGATAACAAGAAAAAACAAGTAGGACATGATGTCAGTAGCGAAGTACTGAGAAAAACCTCAGACATCTCAATAGCAGTTTCAGGGGATTCATTTGTTAATTTGATGAATTTCCAAGGCAAAATTATAGCTCTTTTACACTGAGCGCTGTGAGTGCAAGCTAAGTCGTTTCACTTGTGTCTGACTCTTTGCAACCCTATGCACTATAGCCCACCAGGCTTCTCTGTCCACGGGATTCTCCAGGCAAGAATACTGGAGTGAGTTGCCATGACCTCCTCCAGGGGATCTTCCAGACCCAGGGATCGAATCCGCGTCTCTTAGGTCTCCTGCCCTGGCAGGCAGGTTCTTTACTAGTGCCACTGGGAAGCCCCCTGAGAGCACGTTATGCCTTTATCACAAACATTTACAAATTTATCATCCAATTTATTTTATCTACTTCCTTTCACTTAGAAATTTTTTTTTTTTTTTAAAGGCTAGTTTGCAGCCAAATGCTGTCCTGGGCACTGGGTGGTTAATTTTCAAGACCCAGGTGAACTATCCTCTCCTCAGGAAGGCCATTATCTGACCAGCTCGAGCTAGGGTCCTCCTCTCGTCCCCAGACTCTCCACTTGTTGTCAGGACAGCCAAGGGGAAGTGAGACCCGTATCTTGAGCTCTCTAGTCATGGCCTGCCTCCCATCTGGGCACATCTTCTTATCCTCTGGCCTCATAGAGCAAGAGCGCTTGACAAATGGGGATGAGCAGCTGGGCTCATCTCATCTGCTACGTCACTGCCTTTTAGCAAAGGGAGGAAGTCCTGCTCAGACGTGGCAGCTCAGCCCAGCGCGGATGGGCCTCTCACAGAGATGCAGGAGGGGGCTGGCTTCTTGTATTTCGACCCTGCAGTATGTGTGCCGTGCAACAAGTGTGCCTATCGGGGCTACCGCAAACTCAGACAGAACTTCCGTTCAAGTGCATGTGCCACATTCATTTGGATGCGCCGGTGGCAGAGCAACTGCAGCACAGTCGATTTAACTTGTACTTTGGAGGGACATACAGTGGGCGAAGTAGAGGAAAAACAAGGCCAATTTATCACTAGAGATCTCAACCTTCCTTAGATTCATGGGCAATAACCAGATTCGTTTCCTGGACTGAACCACTTAGCCTCAGAAAAAATCTAAGAACTTATAAGACTCAAGAACATAAAATGTTGCATCAATGATGTCAGCTTTATAGGTGTGTGAAATTAGGATCTATCACCACAGTTTAAGCTCCAAATCTAATACATGCATTGATTTTGGGGGTAGGGAGGAGGGTCCCTTGAACAGGCCCAGTTTCAAAGATTCCACAATCAAAAACACACTATAGGTTTGGTGATTAAGAAAAACATGTATGTACCTATGGTGTTGTTATAGTCGCTAAGTCACGTCTGACTGTTTGCAACCCCATGGACTGTAGCCCACCAGGTGCCTCTGTCCACGGGATTTCCCAGGTATGAATACTGGAGTGGGTTGCCATTTCCTTCCCCAGGGGGGGATCTTCCTGACCTAGGGATCAAACCTCTGTCTCTTGCACTGGCAGGCGGATTCTTTACCACTGAGCCACCAGGGAAGCCCATACACACTGACAGTTTTTATTTAATTTGTACTGATTCAAACGAGGGGTGACCCACCGCATGCAAGGGACCAGAGAAGCTCATGAAGATTAGGTACCATCTAAGACCCTGCACACACCCTAATCTTGTCAGCAATCCACCAATTTGAAACTCCACAGAAGAAGGAATAAAGACTGTTACTGTCCCATACCTCTGCCTGCTTCTATAACTTCTCCCTATTCAGCAGGAAGCAGGGCACAGTTCTTGAGGCACTGGCCTACTGTGTTCCCCCTCTGTGTGGCAAAGTAATAAAGCCACTCTTTCGTTCTCCTCCAAAAAAATAAAACCCCCAAACAAGCTAGGCCTAAATCAGATGCTTAAATAAAACTTTCATCCTGATTTTCTTCTAAATATTTCATTGGCAGCTTAGTTTGGCTCTGAAACAGGGTTCAACCCCCAAAGTTACAAAGGCTCTGCAGCCTGACAAAAGGTAAACACCGCTAGCTGTAGCTGCAGCCCTATCACCACACCTTGCAATGTGACCTCCAACAGCTTCTCTCTCAGTTAGTTTCCTTAGTGGCAAAAGGGACTGGGCTAGTGCTCAGAGCCAGTGTTCTCCACACTGTAAGCTGAACATTCACTGGAAGGACTGATGCTGAAGCTGCAGCTCCAATACTCTGGTCACCTGATGTGAAGAGCCGACTCACTGGAAAAGACCCTGATGCTGGGAAAGACTGAAGGCAGGAGGAGAAGGGAACGACAAGAGGATGAGATGGTTGGATGGCATCACTGACTCAATGGACATGAATCTGAGTAAATTCCGGGAGATAAAGAAGGACTGGGGAGTTTGGAGTGCTGCAGTTTATGGGGTGGCAAAGAGTCGGACAACTTAACAACAATACTGTTACCGATGCAGAACACCAACTTGAAAAGAACTAACATTAGAAATAACCAAAAAGCAACTTCATGGGGCAGCCAAACTAGTTTGTGGTAAGGGAAGTTACTTACAATGAGTTCACTGCCTGAACTGTTTCTGATCATTTAGAAATAGAAATAAGGTAGAATTAGATTTGTTAGGCTCCTTATAATAAATGAGAAGATACTCTGAAAAAAGGAGAAAAAGCTATTGGTGTCTTTCAATTCACATCCTTTATTCTTCCACCTACTCCCACCCTTTACCCTCTCCACACGTGTCCCTCCCTAACCCCCATGGTCTTACGGCACAGTTGGAAACCTAATGGGGGTTGCGGGAAGGGAGGGGCGGTGACATCCAAAAGGCTGTGTGTAACAGTCCACACTTTTTATCCGGTGCCGTCGCACCAAAGGACACACTCCCGGGAGGTTGTCTGTCACCCCATCTCCTTAGCCACCAGTGAGCTCGGACTCACTTCAGACGTCTCTCGTGAGTCTTCCAGTCTTCTACCTCCTTATGTAGTTGCAGACATTCATTTCCACGGTGGACTGGAAGTTTCGCTGGAGTTCTTAAGACATGTAAAACAGTCGAGCATTTTTACACCCAAGTCCTCTCTGTCACGGTGCCTTGTTTTTTGATGAACCAAAAAGCAAACAATCATTCCACACGCACAAGGCATTAAGCTGTCGACGGACTCAGCCACGGTCTCTGTTCTCACGACTGGAATAAAAACAGGCAAACATGGCTGTAAAACACCCAGTTTAATTAAGTGGCATTAGCTAGCTTTCTTGCTGCCAGAAGAACAGGACTCTGGCTCACACGGTAAGCAATCCACCTACAATGCACCTGGGTTCCATCCCTGGGTCGGGAAGATCCCCTGGAGAAGGGCACGGCAACCCACTCCAGGATTATTGCCGGGAGAGTCCCCATGGACAGAGGGGCCTGGTGGGCTCCAGTTCATAGGGTCGCAGAGAGTTGGACAAGACAGCAATTAAGCACACGGAAGTTCAGAGAGGTTTACTGGTTCAGTTTACTCTGACCAAACAGAACAAAATAAAAGCAATAAAATTAGCCCTACCAGGGGCCCGTGGCTCTGGAACTGCACTTTAACCTGTCCTTTAAAATGGATTTTCACCTTCAGTAGCCAATGAAAGCAGGCGAGAGCAAATAGAGCGCTGTGTCTCTGCACGCCTATTCATAAGCTACTCTATAGCTAAAGAGCAGAAACCAAGAGTCTCTCCCATCAAGGAAAACTCAAGGCTTAATCCAACACGTCACCTACTCTAGGGCAATTTTTAAAAGTCATTCATGCAGCAGGGTAACCAACAGCTGGGCCATCTCGGTGTTGTCTCCCACCTACCACCATTCCTAACAGTTAAACCCAGCCTCCTCCACTTGACTATGAACTCTGCCAACCCATGACTCAGAAGCTAAGTGACCTAACTGGGTACTTCCCCCATTTCTGGTATCTATGGGGAAGTACCAACTACTTGCAAAGACACCCTCCCATCAATTACTAGAGAGTGGGGAAAGTGAAATTAATTAAGCCACATACAAATTCTCCCACAACTGGTTTTTCACTCATGAACCATTTATGCAGAATGTATACGCTATGAAGCCAGAAATGACTTATTTCAGCAGACATGACTTTCTCAAACTGTGGGTGCAACACTCTAATGGAAATAACTCAGGATTTAAAACTCAGATGCAAAGACAGAATGATCTAATTTTTCACTCCCTACACTAACATTTTCAAGTCCATGTCATTTCAAAATAAGGGGGGACTAAATGAGACTGACAAAACCACTTTTTAATCAGAATACACAAACTCCTCTAAAGGTTCTTAAAAGACACCTGCTTGTTTTAACAAGTTGGATCTAAAGTTGATGTATTACAGTTCAGAATAACCCTGGTGTTCAACTTCGAGAATACTGCTCCGAAAGACAGGGTAAAAGTGAATACACATTTGAAAAATTCACACAGCGAAAGGAGTACAAAAAAGACACACACTCTCAGTTTCTCGTGATTTTCTTTCTTAAAAACTAGTTTTTATTTCTATTCCTTCAAACCCAAAGTCAGGTCGACCAAAACAACGAAGGGCAAGACCACATCGCTGCAACATAGATAACTATTTAGGAAGGTTTAACTTGCCTAGAATTCGCGCCAGAAGAAAAAAAAAAGAGGAGGGGGGACCTCTGCTGCAGGTATAAAGGAGAACTGGGCGGGAAAATTTGTGGCATTTTCAACAAGGAGACAAATGCAAAGCCGTGAGGAGGAGCGTCTACACGGGTGACAAAGAGGTGAAGACGGTGGTCGAGGGGAAACGACGACTGGCTGGAGAGCGAAGAAAGGGAAGCTGAGAAGGAAATGCCCGGAAGCCACAACAAGCCAAGCTACCTGGACCCTGCAGCCACTTCTAAGATCTACGGGGAAGCAGGCACCCAACGGCTAAGTCGCAGGTTTCCGCGGGTCACGAAAGGATAACGGACATCTTCCCAACGGCGGGCCCGGGGACGCGTCGCGCCGCTTCCGCCCGCCCGAGCCGCCCGGGACCCAGCGGGGCGCGCGGCTGCGGAGCTCGCGGTGAGATGCGGGACCGCGGCCGCCGTTCCCCTTCGTCGCCCGCCTTTGTTCGCCTGGCCCTGCTCCCCCCTCATTCGGCCGCCGTCGCCCGCCCGGAGCCGGGTGCCAAGAGCAAACGCCGCCTGACGCGAAAAACGAGGCACATGAGCTTCTCGTCAAACCAGACTTTATTGGGGGCCGCCGGGGCCGCCCCGAGCGCGCCTCCAGCTCCCCCCCGCGCGGCCCGCCGGCCGGGACGCCCCGCTCGGCTCGGCCAGCTCTGCCCCGCAGGCCCCCTCCCCCGCGGCGCCGGGGAGGCCGCGCGGACGGCTCACCGGCTCCCGAGGCGGCGGCGGCGGCGGCGGCGGCTGCAGCGTCGACGCCCTGCTCCAGAGGGCGGCCCGGAGCCCCCCGGGAGACGGGCTTCGCTGCCGTTGCACCGCGGAGGGCGGGACCCGCGCGACTAGCGGCGAAGGCGGCGGTGGCGGCGCGCTGACGTCACGCGCAGCGGCCCGCCAGCGCGCGCGCGTTGGGGGAGGGGAGGGGGGAGCCGTCCAGGCGGCCCCCAATCCGGGAAGAACTCGGGCTGAGTGGGCGGGGCCGCCGCGGCGCACGGGCCGCTCGATTGGCCCAGGAGGAGGAGCGAGCAGGCAAGCAGGCGAGTAGGGACGAGGCGGCGGGGCGGGCCGAGGCAGCACGGAAGTCTCGCGAGGCCGAGGCTGAGCGGAGTGTGGCGGCGGCGGCGGCGGCGAGATCTGGGCTCGGGGTGAGGAGTTGGTATTTGTGTGGAAGGAGGCGGAGGCGCAGGAGGAAAAGGGGGAAGCGGAGAGCGCCGGCCCCGGAGGGCGGGAGGAGGCGCGGCCAGAGCGGGAGGCCGAGGCGCGGCGCGGCGGGGCGCCGGGGCGAGCAGCGGCCGAGCGAGCGCGGGGCGCACCGAGGCGAGGAGGCGGGGAAGCCCGCCGCCGCCGCCGCCGCGCCCGCCCCTTCCCCCCGCCGCCCGCCCCCTCTCCCCCCCGCCCGCCCGCCGTCTTCCTCCCTCAGCCTTCCTTCCCCACGGCCGGCCGCCTCCTCGCAGCCCCGGAGCTGAGGCCGCCGCGGCCGTGGCCGCCGAGCCCTCAGTCATGGCCTCGGGCGACACCCTCTACATCGCCACGGACGGCTCGGAGATGCCGGCCGAGATCGTGGAGCTGCACGAGATCGAGGTGGAGACCATCCCCGTGGAGACCATCGAGACCACGGTGGTGGGCGAGGAGGAGGAGGACGACGACGACGACGAGGACGGCGGCGGCGGCGACCACGGCGGCGGGGGCGGCCACGGGCACGCGGGCCACCACCACCACCACCACCACCACCACCACCACCACCCGCCTATGATCGCGCTGCAGCCGCTCGTCACCGACGACCCGACCCAGGTGCACCACCACCAGGAGGTGATCCTGGTGCAGACGCGCGAGGAGGTGGTGGGCGGCGACGACTCGGACGGGCTGCGCGCCGAGGACGGCTTCGAGGACCAGATCCTCATCCCGGTGCCCGCGCCGGCCGGCGGCGACGACGACTACATCGAGCAGACGCTGGTCACCGTGGCGGCGGCCGGCAAGAGCGGCGGCGGCGGCGGCGGCTCGTCGTCGTCGGGCGGCGGCCGCGTCAAGAAGGGCGGCGGCAAGAAGAGCGGCAAGAAGGGCTACCTCGGCGGCGGGGCCGGGGCGGCGGGCGGCGCGGACGCCGGCAACAAGAAGTGGGAGCAGAAGCAGGTGCAGATCAAGACCCTGGAGGGCGAATTCTCGGTCACCATGTGGTCCTCAGGTGAGCGCCGGCGCGTGCCGGCCCCGGGGATGTTTTTGTTTTGAAGGGAAGCCATGTTTTATGTGTGTGATGGGCGCCGCCATCTTCTTCGCGGGGCAAGTATGGCGGCCCCAAAAGATGGCGGGGGCGGCGGGCGGCGGCGCGGCGAAGATGGCGGCGGAGGCGCGGCGCCGCCCGCTAGGCCGCAATGGCGTAGTTTCCCCGGGCGGGGCGGCTGCACGGCTCGGCGCGGCGCGGGGTGGGGCGGGGCAGGGCACGCGGGGCGGGGCGCGCTCGGCCAACGGCCGGCTCGGAGCCCGTTGTCCGTGGCACCCACCCGCCCGCGAGGCGCCCCGGGGGCGACGGGAGGGCGTTGGCGGGGCGGCGCGGCCTGGCTCTCGCGCCCGGCCCGGGCCGCCTTCGCCGCGTTTCCCTGGCCTTCCCCTGGGGGGCGTCGCGGGCCCGACTCCGCCCCCCGCCCCTGCTCAGGAGCCGCCGCAGATCCCGGGAGGCGCCTTCCGCGGCCGTGCGCTCGTCCTCCCGGCCGCGCGGCGCTCCCTCGGCTCGCTTCGCGGGGCGGGACTTGGGCGGCACGTCGGGCTCGCGTGTGCGGGCTCGGCGTCGGCGGGACCTCTGTCAGCGCGCTGCGGCGGGGCCTTCGCCTCTGCTCCCCATGCGGCGCCTAGTGAGGGGTCGCGGGTTTTTGCAGAGGACTGAAATCCTTCGCACTCGAGGGAGTTTTGTTAAGTTATTTGACTCTGCATTTGCATGTCTGCCATTAAATTGATAAAATCGAGTATTTTTTAAGTTTCCACGTTTGTTGATAGAAAACTTCCAGTGAAAAGAAGGGGTTCTAGAAAAGGGTCTTTTAACTCACTGCTCTCTGAACGAGGGCCAGGAAAAATATCTAGGGCAGAAAAGAATTATCTGCATATGTAAATCTGTTTTGATTTTACTTGGTAACTAGTGTTTTCCTGTCTTTATCTCATTATCTGTCCACAGGCTTTCTTGTTAAATTTTGGTTGTAGTAGTAAATAGGTTGAGAGTAATCCTGCCATAACGAGTTAATCTAGTACTTGGGTAATTAAAGTGGTAGAATCCTTTTCACCACACTTGCTCCCACTCTGTTTAATATAAATTCTCAGAATTGGATGAAGCCTTGAAATCTGTTTAGGGTTGTTAAAATTCACGAGAACGAATGAATCGGGCAAAAGACTGGATTGAAGCAGGTCTGGTTGTATCTGCTGTGCAAAGCTGCAGGTTTCTGTGGGTCTGTGACTCGGGACTGGCTGTGGAGCGGAGGTGCCCTCAACGTGTAACAGCACTTTCTCACAGCCCTGCTGTTTGGATTTCTGAGGGCCTTGTGGAACTCTCAGTAGTTTGAGTTTCGCAGGAGCTGTATATTTAAAGGAGACATATCTTAGTATTTAAGAGGCTATCCAAAGATCCCTTCTGTATACATTCTGGTAGTGCAGAATGATTGCACAGTGCTCATGTAGGAACTAGAAGCCATGCTTTCCCATTATTAATACTAATGGGTTATGGGACGCTGTGCTGGTTACTGATGAATTTGCTGAATTCAGAGCTTCCCCCGGTGGCTCAGCTGGTAAAGAATCCGCCTGCATTCGCAATGCAGGAGACCCAGGCTCGATCCCTGGGTGGGGAAGATCCCCTGGAGAAGGAAATGGCAATCCACTCCAGTATTCTTCGGGGAAACCCCAAGGACAGAAGAGCCTGGCAGGCTACAGTTCATGGGGTCGCAAAGAGTTGGACATGATTTAGTAATGTTTTAAACCACCCCTTGCTGAATTCAGGATATCATTAGGTATTTAGGTAAAGATACATTAACCACATGAAGCTATATTTACTTTTTCTCACAGTATGGTCATGTTGGCTTTAAGTAATTTATCAAACCAGGATATTTTACGTATTCTGCATTTGATCTTAGCAAATTGCTAACCCACTTCTCCATACCCAGAACGCTTGATAATGTAGACTTTACTTGAAGTGGTATGTATCAAGTTAGCTGAAAAGTCATTACCTCCTCTGCAAGTGATTGCTCCAGGCTTGTACAGTTTTAGGGATATTTTAAAGTCTCCTTTAAAGAGTTAGTTGTTTGCCATGTTGCAGTACTCTGCATAAAGGTGGTTATAAACATTTGATGGCAGTAACATAGAATTGCTTGTTTTCTCTGACATGTTATATGGTAAACTCTTCCCCTTCCTTGTCCTTGTGGTTTGGAATTATTACTGAAGAGAAGTGAAATAGTTTGTGATTAACTCTACATGTCCTAAGTTCAAATTTGGCGTTTAGTTTCATCTTCAGAAATGAAATAAGGTAATTGATAACAGATGAAGAAATCAAAGCAGGTTAATTGTTAGGCTTAACTTATGTGTGTGTGACTGGTAGGCATTACACACACTGCTTTCATGTACTTGATTACATCTGATCCTAGGCAAGAGAAATTTTAAACAGCCCCTTGGTCTGAGCTCAAGTTTAGTTAACCTGAAGTTCTTTAAACAATAGCAATACACATAGGGTATTGTCAGGGCTCTAGTTAGTTGGTAGCACCTCTTGGATAAAGAAAAGCAGTGAGAGAAAAAGCCCTGGGTTGTGTGGGCTGCTGCTGCTTGTGTGCTGTCTTCATTTAATTTCCACAGGGCAGCTGAGCTCCATGAGTGGCATCTTTTGAATGGGATGGCAGAGGGGAGTCTAGTATTCCTATAGTAGAGTAGGGTCCCTAGAGATCTGCTTTTTTTTCTTTTTTAATTATTGACATCACATGTGCGTGGTTTAGTGACCTTTTACTTTGTTCACCAGCTTGTGGAATCATCACCACTGTCTTAATTCTAGAACATTTTTATCACCCCAGAAAAACTGGCTATTATTTCCCTCTCCCCCACCCACCCCTCCCAGCCATTAATCTGCTTTTTCCCTGGATTTGCCTGTTCTGGACATTTCATTTACATGAAATCATACACTATATATTGCCTTTTGTGTCTGGCTTAGTCTGTTTTCAAGGTTCTTCCAAGTTGTAGAATGTACTTCATTACTTTTTACAGCTGAATACTATGCCACAGAAGCTGCTTATTTTTGCAGATGAGAAAATTAAGGTTTAGTTAAGACTGAACGTGTTTTAACATTTAATCACAGTTTAACTGTGTTTTGAAGAGAAGGAAATGGCAACCCACTCCAGTCAGCACTCTTGCCTGGAAAATCCATGGACAGAGGAGTGTGGTAGGCTACAGTCCATGGGGTTACAGAGAGTCGGACACGACTGAGCGACTTCACAAGAAAAGAATCCTTTGCTTAAGGCCCGTATTTGTTCTTGCATCTTTCCTAGCATATAATTAATGAACATTTCATTATTGCTAAATTTAAGGCACAGTATTATGTATTCCCCCCCCCCCCAGTTGTTCTTCATGATAGTTTAGAAGGGACATCCTATTTTGTAGGATTTATTAAAAACTAAACCACTTAACAGAATCACTGGGTTGAGTAGGAAAGCTAATAGTAAAAGCTGTGTATTTAAAACATTTAGTTTAGAGAGAAATCAAAAAGGCTTTTGAATCTTGAGGTTTCAGGTAGTTAGAATATGTGACCTTCACTTGAGGCTGTCGGTATTTTAATTATCTTCTGTTAGAATATAGAAGTGCTTTGTGCTAGTTTGAGTAAAACATCTAAGACCAGAAACCATTGATATTAAAAGCAGCAAATTGAAAGAAAGTCAAAAAGTATTACATTTTTTTCTCACTTTTATATGTTCAGAAAGTTCAAGTTTGCCAAAAATTACTAGTCCTGACAGTTGACTATTTTTCCTTTTTTAACATGTTGTTTATCATTATGGAAAGATGCTGTAAATGTAAACTCCCATGGAGCCAAGCCCAAAGAACCCTCCAAAGTAATCGTGTCACCCCCATGACCTACATAGGACAGCCTAAGTCATAGATCCTGCTTCCTGACCTGGTGGCTCTGGAAGCCTGGCTTACTTACAGGCCTCTGTGCTGTTAGACTCTTGTCTCCTGGTTATTAACCTCCCTCCCACCCCTAGTCAACAGCTGTCTGCTCCAGTAGGAAAAGAAAAATCCGTATCAGAAAAGGGCAGGACTCCTGACCTACCTAAAACTAACATTTCAGGCTTTTGGGAGAGAATAAAGATTAATTTTTTAAAAATATGCTATACTCCTGGGTGAATATTTACAAAAAGGCTTTCTGTTTGTTTTGAAGTAAGATCAGTTTAAGTCTGGGAAACAGGGCTCATGACAGGTTATTAGCAAAGGCAATTATCTTGAACATTTCCCAAGATCTACATTTGGTGACCAGTTTATAAACTGCCCTTACTACTTCCATAGGAAGAACGTAAAAGTGAAAACTTTATAATTTTTAAATCTGAACATTTACCAGTGAGTTGTATTCTACAGTATTAAGCACTCACTGTACTCAATATTTTCAAAATTTGGCATCCAAAACACCACTTGGATGTTGAAGAAAACATGTATTTCTTTACTGTTTGTAGACTGTTAGGAAGATGCAGGGAGGTCTTGGAAGCTAGTTGACTATATTGTGTAAACTTGTGCCTTCCTGTTTATGGTGAACTTTACAGGTGGGGAGAGGAGCTATTTCTTAGTCTTAAGGGTCTTGTGTTGGTAGGTCCCGTTATGTGTAACGTAGTGATTAATTATCAATAACAGCAAGTCCAGTGGTTTTTTAGAATCTTTGTTAGTAAGAGCATCAAATTTCCCTTTGGAGGGCAGTGGCCAGAGATCTGACCTTGGCGTGTCTCAGCTTCTGCCCTTGGGGTCTTTGTAAAACGCCCTATTGGGGTAGGAGGACCCCTGAAGGCATTTTTCATTTCCTTTACCGCAAAGAAATTCTACTTGATTAATTCCTTTGTGAGAAAAGGAAGCAATATACTTAATTTCTTAAAGCAAAACGACCCAATTTTAACATGACATGGTGAAATAATAGGAACTCTCTAGAGCAGAATTCTTGTTAACTCTTCAGTTACTTTAGTGTTACAC